CGATCACTGAACATACTCAGTGATAATCGCTGGAACTGAAAATACAGAAACACAAATACAATGTGAAAGGAAAAAGAGATTATCATCAAATCACTGAGAGAGAGGATCAACATGGGACTCACATAGTACACTTCATAAGATAAAAACGATAATGCACTGCCAAAGTACAGAAGTTGCATTGTCGGTAATATTCGATTCCGTAATTTCTGACTAACTTTTATGATCCAACTTCCATGATTCGCTACATTTACATGCTATAAACATACTTCAACATACTAAAGAGTAAAACAAGTCCAATGGTTGCTAACCTAATCTTAATCATGCATATTTACTCTTTTCAACATTTAACCGAACAATTGGTCTACGGTTAAATATATACCCACAATCTAACCATATTGAAACTATAATATACCCTTTTAATTTCTAAATCAATTTAACCAGTCCTAGCATTCTAAACATCAAATATATCATAATTTTGACAACATCAATCCATAAACTTAGACATAAACACAGTTTATAAACCGGTCTTAAGAACCCTAACATAAACACCCTAATAAAAATGAATGAAATTTATACCTTTAAGAAGAGTTCGAAGAGTGGATTCTGAATATATATTTGTTACCTCGATCCTCTTAGTAACTTGACGTGAAATTTAAAGAGAACACGAGAGTTTTAGAGAGAGAGAAATACAGAGAATGAGAAGTTGAGACTGTGTAATAACCGTCTCATGCACATGTATATTTATATTATTTTTTTCTTTTTCTTTTTTTAATTATATATATATATATATATATATATATATATATAAGTTTAACCTATTTGGCGGTTTTAACTCTTCAAGTTAGATTCTCAACTTTATGTCAATATATGTATAAACTCAACTTTTGTCATAAAACTAGTCTGAGGTACAAGTTGGTTAAACATAAGGTATAAATAAGTTATGCACAATTCTACCAAAAATTCACTTAACCCAATTTGTACGAGTTAACGGAACACGAATATCATAATCCTCCCCTCCTAAAAAAAATATTTCGTCCTCGAAATTTAGACAGGGTTAGAGGATTTATATGACTCGAATAGATAAGGGTACTCCTTTCGCATAAATTCTTCCGTTTCCCATGTGACTTCTCGCTCGGAATGATTTCGCCATAACACTTTAACGAACGGTATTGACTTTCGTCGCATTTGTCTATCTTCTTGATTAATTATCGCCTCTGGTTCTTCCATATAAGAGAGATCTTTTTCAACTTTGTCCAACGGATAATCAATCACATGGAAGGGTGATAATTATATCCGCGGAGCGACGAGATATGAAAAACGTTATGGATATGTGAAAGTTGAGGAGGTAACACTAGGCGATATGCCAACTCTCCAACTCATTCCAGTATTTCGAAGGGTCCAATATATCTCGAACTAAGTTTACCTTTGATTTCGAATCTGCGAATACCTCGTAATGGTGAAACTTTTAGGAAGATTTGATCACCCATTTGGAACTCTAAATGTTTTCGATGCTTGTCAACGTAACTTTTCTATCAAGATTGAGTCTCTTTCATTTTCTGTTCTGCGATCTCGACTTGTTCAGTAGTAATCCGAACTAGTTCAGTTTTTCGATAGCTTGTTCCCCCACTTCATTCCAACAGATCGGTGTTTTACATCTCCGACCGTATAAAGCTTCGTACGGGGCCATGCCTATACTAGCTTGCCAATTATTGTTATATGCGAACTCCACAAGATATAAAGACTCGTCCCAACCACCAAACCACTCAAGAGGACAAGCCCGTAACATATCTTCTAGAGTTTGAATAGTTCGTTCAGTCTGACCATCTGTTTGTGGATGAAAAGTTGAACTCATAGTCAATCGTGTACCCCAAGCCTGGTGAAGACTTTTCCAGAATCAAAAAGTGAATCGTGGATCTCGGTCTGATGTGATAGAAACTGGCGTACCATGCAACCTCATGATTTCCCGTTGGAATAGATCAGACAGTTTACTAACAGGGTACGTCTCCTTTATAGGTAGAATGAGCCGATTTTGTCAAACGGTCAACTACTACCCATATAGCATCATGTCGTCTCTGAGTTTTTGGAAGTCCTGTCACAAAATCCATAGAGATATGTTCCCATTTCCAAATTGGAATCTCCAATGGTTGTAACAATCCGCTAGCCTGTTGATGTTCAATCTTTACTTTCTGGCAAGTAAGACATTTTGCTACGTATTTTGCTATATCTCATTTCATACCGTTCCACCAAAAGTACTGTTTAGATCTCAGTACATCTTAGTGGATCCGGGATGAATTGAGAACAACGAATTATGAGCTTCACTCATAGCTGCTTCTTTGAGTTTAGGATTTTCGGGTACACAAAGTCGATTAGAAAACCATATAATAACTTTATCATCAACTTGAAAGTCGGACTGCGAATCATCTTTAGCCTTTTGTAAGATAGCCCAAAGTTCTTCATCCTCTTGTTGAGCCTCTTTGATTCGAGATACAAGAGTTGGTTCAATCGTGAGATTAGCCAAAAGTTCATTTCCCCCACGATAACACAAAGAGATACCCATACGTCCTAGATCTGAAGCAATATGGGACTGAACGGTTAAAGACGATACATTACCAATGCTTTTATGGCTAAGGGCATCGGCTACTACATTGGCTTTGCCTGGATGATATTGAATTCGGACGTCGTAGTCCTTAAGAAGTTTGAGCCATTGTCGTTGATGCATATTCAACTCTTTTTACGTGAAGATGTACTTTAAGCTTTTGTGATCGATAAAAATATCACAAGTCTCTCCATACAAATAGTGACGCCATATTTTGAGTGCAAAATGACTGCTGCCAATTCAAGATCATGAGTAGGGTAGTTTACTTCATAAGGTTTGAGCTGGCGAGAGGCATACGCAATCACTTTGTCGTGCTACATTAGAACACAACCAAGACCACTTTTTGAAGCATCACTATAAACCTGAAAACCTCCCCACCTAGATGGCAATGCAAGAACATACATTGTAATCAATCTCTTTCTCAGTGCTTTAAATTTCTTTTCCTGTTCTTCACCCCAAACAAATTTAAATTCTTTTCGAAGAAGTTTAGTCATAGGGAGCGCGATCCGGGAAAAGTTTTCAACAAACCGTTGATAGTAACCTGCCAGACCTAGGAAACTTCGGACTTCAGAAACATTTGTTGGTTTTGGCCAGTTAGTGATAGCCTCAACCATTGCTGGATCGACTTTAATGCTTTGGCCGGAGATAATGTGGCCCAAGAATGCCACTTGATGCAACCAAAATTCACATTTAGAAAACTTTGCGTACAACTTCTTATTTTGAAGAGTTTCTAAAGTAATATGCAAGTGAATTTTGTGATCTTCTTTTGACTTTGAATATATGAGAATATCGTCAATAAAAACGATAACAAAGTCGTCCAAATAATCTTTGAAAGCCCGGTTCATAAGATCCATAAAAACTGCTGGAGCATTAGTTAACCCGAATGGCATAACAATAAATTCATAATGACCATATCGAGTATGGAATGCAATCTTAGGAATATCTTGATCTCTGATCCAGAGTTGGTAATATCCAAACCTTAAGTCGATCTTAGAAAAATACTTTGCTCCTTGGAGTTGATCAAAGAGATCGTCAATACGAGATAAAGGGTATTTATTATGTATTGTGACCCGATTTAGTTCACGATAGTCAATACACAATCGCATCGATCCATCTTTCTTCTTAATGAATATGACCGGTGCACCCCATAAAGATACACTGGGTCGAATAAAACCATGATTTGAAAGGTCTTCAAGTTGTTCCTTAAGTTCTTTCATTTCGGCTGGAGCCATACGATAACGAGCCTTTGAGATAGGGGCAGCTCCCGGAACATGATCAATTGTAAATTCAATTTCCCTTTCCGGAGGAACTCCTGGAAGTTCATCTAGAAAGACATCTTGAAATTGATTAACAATAGGAATATCTTCAAGTTTAAGGCATACCTCTTTGGGATCTTGTAGTGAAGCTAAAAACCCTTCACATCCTTGCCATACCATTGATTTAACATTCACTTCTGAGATAACACGAGTCCTCTTCTCAGGTGAAACACCGTGGAACACATATTCAGGTTCATTGATGTCACCGAAGACGATTTGTTTGGATTTGCAGTCGATGGTCACTCAATGTGTAGACAACCAATCCATGCCAAAGATGATATCAAAGTGATCCATTTTCATCGGTAGTAAAGTAACCTCCCGAATTCGATCGTCAATAAATAACAGACAATTTAGGAATTGATTAAGTATACATACTGAATTACCCATAGGAGTAGATGTAAAGGAAACTCGATGGATTGTTCATATGATTTAAGATTTTCATCAAAGTTTTTTCAGAAATAATCGAGTGTGTAGCACTTGTATCAAATAAAACATATGCATCTCTACCGTCAATAGAAAGGGTACAAGAAACCATACCCGCATGTTAGCAGATAGTGTAAACACTCGACCACCAGCAGTAGATTGCTTCTCTCTATCTTTGGAATTATCTTTCGGCCCTTGTTTACAATCACGAGCTAGATGACCTCGTTCAGTTATAACAGGCGCCGGTCATTCGAAGACATGGGCCATGATGATGTCTAAAACCACAATCTTTGCACCGTAACAGAGAAGTTGTAATCGAAAAACCTTTACTAGAAGTTCCTTGAGATGAAATTAGAGGTTTGTAATTCGATTGTTTCCACTAACCTGTCCGATTGGTTCCTCTCCCGCTAGAATTTCCTTGAAACACATCTCTATTTCTTTTCGTACCACTATCACCTCGGAAAAGTATAGAGTCTAGGATAATCCTATCTTAGTTCTACCCATTTCTCACAGATCAAACCTATATTGTACTATAGGATCGTAATCTATAACTCTGATACCACAACTTGTAACACCCCCGTCCCGTGTGGTCAAAGACGGGAGATGCTACAAGTGGTTTAAAAAGAAATCAACGCATTATATAAAACAGAGCAGCTAATAAAATTAACTAAAAGATAATTACATAACCACAGACGGAGATAACGTGACTCAAAATACCAGTATATCTACATTAGTCATCAAAAGCATGACGTAATGGGTTATCTTCAACATTGTCATCTCCGTAGCTCTCATCCCAAAATCCCTGCTAAGTCATGTACCTGCCGAGGACAAGAAAATCTCGGCTGAGCTTGAAAGTCCACAAATGATCAATCTTCAAGTAAGAATCCATGGCAGAATCATATTAAGCATTCAAGAACATGAGAGGAAAGTTGAGAGTAAAAGTCAAACAGTCAACTTTTCTATTATACGTATGAATATTACAAATGAGCTCCTCTAAACTATTACACTAAGAAAAGCTTTATATAGGGTCAAAGTATAACCCTTCTAAGTCAAAGTCAAACTACTCATACAAAGTCAAACACGATGTCTTTTACAATTATAGACAAATATTAACCTTTCAAGACGAATACAATTTACGCTGAAATTCAGTCCCAACATTCTCCCCCTTTGTATTCAGGCTTGAAAGAATTTGTGCACTTTGAATCTCGTTTGAACTTTGTCGCTTTAAACACTTAATGACTTTTCCAAAATCTTCAAAACAATCTTTTTGTTGAGAAAATCTTCTAACATTCTCCCCCTCGAATGTAGAACAACAACGATCTTCTCTTTTGACAATAAAGAACAATATCAGCAAACGATCTTTAGAAATGATCTTCAAGATACGATTTTCAAAGAACCTTCTTCAGAAAACAGATAACTAACATTCTCCCCAAAAACCAGTTGAGTTTTGAGCACAAGAAAAGTCTTTAACTTTCTTTAAAAGCTGGTCTCGTTCATCAACAACTAAATCATACTTCTCTTTAAGTTTAGTTTTCATTTTCAGTTCAGTTTCAAGTTCTGTCTTCAGATCAAACAATTTCTTGGAAGTATCCAGGAGTTTACCTTCTAACTCCTTAAGCTTCTCAAACAACTTCTTCTTATTATCAAATTCTCTTCTCTCTTCATCTGATCTGCTCTTTTCATTCTCAGAAGCAATGTTGAGCCATTTTTTTCTTTTCTGCAAGCTCTTTAGCCATTACTTCATATTTCTTAGCAGTATTTCGCTTTTCAAGAGCAAACAACTTTTTCTCTTCATCCAAAGCCTTTTGCTTTTTAGCAATGTCGTCAGACAGTTCTTGATTCCGGCTCAAACATTCTTCTCTGATTTCTTTCCTTTCTTTGTCAATCTTGGCTCGTTCCAATATTATTAGCTGCTCAAAATCAGAGATCTGATTCAATAGCATTTTCGCGTTTAGCTCTAGAGAGTTGATCTTATTTTCATAAGATATGCGTTAAGTACCAAATCTTTTCTCTACTTCAATTATCCTTTTCTTCTCTTTCTCAAAAACTAATCTTTCAGTGCTTAAACTCTTTTCAGCTTTCAGAACTTTTTCTTTCTCTAATTCCAGTAATTTCTAATCTCAATCACATCATTCTCAGATTTATGAAATTTCTCAGTTAAGTCCTCAGTCTCTGTATTATTCCTCCCAAAATAGTTCCTTTCAGTTTGCAGTTCAGATTCAGATTTATTAAGTTTATTGACTAAATCTTGTTTTATCATATTAGAACTACTTATTTCATCCTCTAATTCTTTCCTTACTGCATCCAAGGTTTTCTCAAGCTCGCTTATCTTATACGAGAAACCATCTTCAGAATTTTCTCTCAATGCTCTATTCTCTCTTTGCAAATCTTTAATAAATTCTATATCTGCATGATTTTCATCAAACATGTTTATGTATTTATTTTGATAGTCTCTTACGCACTTTTCCAGCTTAGCAATCTGAACTCGTAGTTCTTTATTCTCCTTCTCAAGAAATACTGCCATTTAAAAAAATAAAGATTGATCAAAAGAATATAATGCGGTGAAATCAGTCAAAGAAATCAGAAATCCATCAATAAGCTCAAAAACTGTTGAGAAATCAGAAAATCAATGAAAAACAGTTAAAAATCAGTAAACAGTCAAAAACTGTTAAAAACAGTTAAAACAGTCAGAAACAGTTAAAACTGATTAAAAACAGTTTATATGACACAAATCAGTTCAAAATTCTCAAATGTTCAAATCAGATCAAAAATAGATCAAAATCAATGAAAACCTCAAAAATCAGAAATTTTGGCAAAAATTAGTTAAAACGTGATCCAAAACCCCTTAGACTATAAAAAAACAAGCTAAGGAAAAACAATCGGCTAAAATATAAAATAAGGCCCAAGATGGATCAAGCCTTTTGCAAATGACAAACGTGTGAAGGTGTTCAATAGAATCAAGTCTTGGCCGAGGGAGTTAACCGGACACGGGAAGAAAAAAAATGGCCGAGAAGAATAAGTCAGACAAGGAAGGCGATTGTGAATTCCGTGTGAACCTAATCCGGACAAAGGAATTGCCAAGGATGGTCAAAAGCGAACAAGACAGGTGAGCGATGAAGATTAAATCGGACAGGATTGCATGCGATTTAATAGAAATCGAACAAGGTAGGCAATGATTTAGGTTAAGACAGAAGAGGAAGAAAAGCGATTCAAGACAAAATCAGACAACCAGGTATGCGATTTAGATGAAACTAGACAAGATGGTGTCCGATTTATGTGATGATCGATCAAGATAGTGTACGATTTAGGCTAAGTTCGGACAAAGGATTGTGCAAGGTTATGTCAAATCGCTGGCCAAGTCTGACTTTTGTCCGATGAAGATCT